TGTTTTTATTACTATTTTGGACCCCTAAATAACAATTTGGTGAAATCTCGGATCCATAGAAACCTTTATAATATTCTGCTATGCAACAGCTATTCTCGCTCATGAGCTTGAAGTACGTGTGCTGCTACTGGTTCTTAGTTTGAATTTGCAAAGTCAAGGCGTTTCTCACTGGAATCAAATGCTGAGTAGGTCGAGTTTGTTATTTTTTAGAGTAGAAATTTTCTTCATATGTGACAGAATTAGTTAGAAGATTACTCAAAGCCCGAACGAAGGTTTTAGATTCTCACGACAATCAAGTATTGAGAGTAGACAGCAAAATTACTTAATTACTTCAGGCCATTCCAGTTTGATGAGTCTCGCAGGAATCGAGTATCGGGAATCAAGACGCAATCGAGAATAGGCAGGTACAAAAGTCGGACCGGATCAACTCGGACCGCCAGTCCCGGTCGGATCAACTCGGATTGACTTGGACCAACTCGGATCAAATAAAAAAATAAAAATAAAATAAAATTGAACTTGGATCAAGTTGGATTATAAAAAGAAAAATAAAATCAGTCGGTATCACTTAACTTTCACCCGCCATTTTGTTTTTTTCTCACGAACTCATGGTTGCGTAAATTAATTTCATTTTTATTAATTTTAATGATACACTAGTGAGCAGCACACATACACTCCCAGTGAACATTTTCAACTTGGAAGGAGGAGAAATCATGCTCGCCCGGGACAACGAAAATTTTCGTACCCATGGCGAGAATTGAACTCATGACCCTCCGAATACTACATGTTTATCGGACGTTCCAACCACTGAACCGGAGGGTCGCGAGTTCAATTCTTGCCCGGGGCACGGAAATTTCCTTTGTCCCGGGCGAGCATGGTTTCTCCTCCTTCCAAGTTGAAAATGTTCACTGGAAATGTATGTGTGCTGCTCTCTAGTGTATCATTAAAATTAAGTTTCAGAAGTCCTGCAGAAAAAAAAAAAGGGAACAAACAAACAAACACTCTTCGGTAACTAGTAAATGCGATCAACAGACCAGGCTTTTGATGCCTTTCTCATAAATAATTCAGTACACTCATTAATCAAAACTAATATGCACATTAACTTATGATCACGCTCACCTCAACTTCTTTGCTTTGTGACAAAAAGCTGCAATAAAATAAAAAAATACCCAAACATATATTCTAGGCGACTGAAACTATCAGTTTCTTGGAATGAAGCAAATTCATTGAGAAGATGGTCGCGATTTTACCTTCCTCGAGGTCATCCATATCTGTGAAGCAGAGCACGTCGTGTAACGCAACCACAACCATGAGTTTATAACATGATCCGAGAGGAACTGGCATTAGTAAAACAAAATGCGCCTGAAAGCCACAGAGAAAAAAAGGATGATCTGGCCTTTTTTAGCCTCCAAATGGGTTAAACTTTCAGTTTTTAATTTGCTGATTTAATTTAATTTTTTTGATTGCTCCGAGTTGATCCGAGTCCAATTTTATTTTATTTTTATTTTTTTATCCGATCCGAGTTGGTCCGAGTCTATCCGAGTTGATCTGACCCGGACTGGTGGTCCGAGTTGATCCGGTCTGACTTTTGTACCTGCCTATCGAGAATCATTTTTTTTGTCAACTTACTTTTGAACGGTACTGCGTGTACAACAGATTTATTATTCCCCGTAGAAAAATAGTTTGTTTGAGTTAGCCTGTGCTTCTGTGATGACTCAGTAGACTGTGATGTTTGCCCTGCTAACCAAATTTTTTGGAACACTATGCCAATGATTTTGTCCAAACAAAATCTGAGTAGTAAGAACAAAACTAGTTTCTGGTCCCATTGATGTTTTTTAACCATTTTCAGTTCAAATGAAACAGTGTGTTTTGGTCAATGTTTAGAAAAAAAACTGGATAATTTAAATTTTATCCCTCTGAAAAAGAAATTCAGCTCAAACTCGTCAGCAAAGATGAACTTGGGGGGAGGTACCCAAAAGTACCGAAGCTGAGAGCAATGCGTAACCATGACAGACCTGTGAGTGGCAACCACCAGCGCACCATCACACTGCTTACCAGTGGAACCTAGAATACCTTTGGGCAGTGAAGGGAGCAAAACAGACCAAGAAGCACAAGCAACAAGAAGCAATGCAAACGTAATGGGCTCACCTCAGCTGAAAAGCTGTAAAACCCAATGGTTCCTTCGTAACCCTAGAGCGCCCCTGAAAATCACAAGTGAGAGACTGCTAATACCAGCGTATTATCTCAAGTTTAACTCAGTGATTTTGTTACCTCTGCATCCTGCGTCCCTGATGCATAAAAATCCCCAAAGACGTAAAATAATTCATGGCATGCGTCTCGTAGGATGCAAAGATCAGTCAATCGAACATGTGTTTGTAGAAATATCCCGTTCTTGTAATTTCTGTGGCAGTTATTATATCCCGTTGTTTAACAATGAATTATTTCTTTCAGCCTTTGTTGTGCTTAAAAAGAGAAGGACTATATTTTTATTTCAGTATACTGTAATACAGAGTTTTGGAGTCTGTCTTCAGATTAACTGTCTGGTTTCAATCAAAGGCACAAGCATTTCATCTTCAGACTCGTTTCTTTTTTTTTATCTGGGACTCATTGCATGGTTCCTGGACTGCGAATTCTGATTTTTCACAAGATGAGTCCTGCAGGACTCACCATAACTATTTGTAACAAAGTCACTGTTAACTTAGCCTAAATTTCATTTAGCCACAATAGTCATTTATTTTTTCCATTGCAAGTTTGGCAACTTTGTTAGTTCCACACCACCGCATCCTTTCTATTTAATTTTAAAGTGTTCTTATGTATGATATTAATGGGCACATATGCAAACCACAGAAAGTAAAAGTTAAACACATCCCACAATTTTAGTACATTGTATTGTATTGTTGTTATAAAGTTTGTTTTTTGAAAATTGAATTGCTATAATATTTTCCTTTTTAGGATTCATCCTTTACTAGCTTGGCTTCTACATCACAGGAAGGCCATGAAAGCAATACTAGTTCCACTTCCAGCAGGAAATTGAGAGTAACTCTGTTAAGCAGTGAATGGAGGTCAACAAAAGGAGGCTTGTCAACCATCAACCGAGAGCTGGCCATTCAGTTAGCAAAACATCCCAGAGTGGAGGTCAGTGTTTATCTCCCCGAGTGCAGTGAAGAAGATAAACAAGTGGCTGCAAGTCACAATGTTCATCTCATTGAAGCAGAAGAAATGGCAGGTTATGACCCAGTTGACTGGTTGTCCTTTCTACCAGAAGACCATGTTGTGGACTGTGATAGGACATGGGGCCATTCTTGGCAAGTGCAGGGTATAAAACGATCATCCTCACTGGGTGGATTCAGGTCACACACTGCTCCAGAAGAACTTGGAATGTACAAAGGATATGAAAATGCATTTCCAGAGGTGAGAAGAAGCACCAAGTGGAGGTTGAACTCTGCAAATTAGCTGACTGTTGTAGCAGTTGGACCCAAGCTTGCGGAAGCTTTTTCAGGTTATCTTCGTCCATCTGGAAAGGATCAACGTGTTTTTCAAACTTACGCCAGGCATTTTCTCCCGAGTTTGCTGTTGTTAATCAAGCCACTGAAGAAAGAAACTCATTCAGTGTTTTAGTGTTTGGGCGCATGATAATGAAGACTTCAGCTGAAAGGATATGACATTGCTGCCAAGCCATTGCTGAGTTGAAAGACACGACTTACAAACTTGTGTTTGTAGGAGCAACAAGTGGAGAAGAAGAGAAAGTAGCAGAAATGTTACTTCCAGCAAGGCGTTGACCGCAGTCAACCCAGGGTGCGTTGTTTTAATGAAAGCAGGAGAAGCTAGCTGAATTATTTTGTGAAGTAGATCTTGCTGTAATGCCATCACGAACTGAGGGCTTTGGTCTAGCTGCCCCTTGAGGCTTTTGTCTGCTGGTGTACCTGTGCTGGTCAGTGGGAACTCTGGATTTGGAGAAGCTTTGAGGAAAGTTCCGCATGGTTCAAGCTGTGTGGTAGAGTCAGAAGATCCTAAAGATTGGGCAAATGCGATCAAAGCTGTCCGTCAGAAAGGCAGGGAGATGCGTCTTGGAGAGTCTGAAGTGGTGCATGGAGCATATTCAAAAAAGTACAGCTGGAAGAAACAGTGCGATGAACTAACAGAAAGGATGATTGAGATGAGTATCACTGAAGCAGGTAAGAAGTGCACCCGTAGTTAATTACTCACTAAATGCATTTATCATAAGATGGCTAAATTGAATATTATTCAGACAGTGTATGTACATGTGTATAAAGGCAAAGACTTGCCAGCATTCTTCTCAGGAAGGCTCACATGTGCTTCAGTTCAGTGCCCTAAAACATGGCAGGTCCAAAGGTTTTACTGGTTTTATGTTTCTCACATGAGTAAATCGTCAGGGTGGATAGTCAAGCCACTCACAAAATTTGAGGCCATTCTTAATTAGGGTGTGCCACTGGTCCCTAGCTACCCCACAGCTGAATAAAGGCTGTGCTCTATAAGGACAGTTAAAAGGAGCCTGGTGCTCTGAACTTGTAAAATCTAGGGAGCTCAGCATATGATTTGTATGAAAAAACTAAGATTTTCTTATTGCCCCAAGAGAAAATATTGGGCACCAACAGTCCTAGTAATCATCTGGGCCCAGTTCCTGAAAGGCTGATTAGTGCTTATCCAGGATTAAAATTTCATTCTATTTTTGTATTTATTTTTACCTTCCTGTGTATTGCTTAGGGTAATATTTTGTGTTATCACTACTGTTTTTCAGAGTAAAGGTTCAACAGTAATTATTGTAACCTTGACTTACTTGTTTGTAGACAAGAAAACCTTGCTCAAAATTTGGCGTAATCCAATCCTGGGTTAAACTTAATCATCTTTCGAGGAACCGGGTCATGGCTGTTACTGCACCACTGATTTATTTTGCAGCCGTGCACCCACATGAATTGTATACACTTCACATTAGGCTGGTGTAACAGCCTGCAAAACTAGATTTTCCAAAATCCTTTATAATTATGACTTTTGAACCAGCTTTGAGTATTTTATTTTTTCATTTCTTTCTCTTCCTTGCATCAGAGGGCAGTGATGTTGAGCTTACCACTGGTCTCCATTTTTCTTCCACGAATGCTCCAAGCTCCTCAAATAACCATGGTAAGGACCCTCCTGAACTGGATAAAGTTCTTGCATCTTTGGCTGACGTTAAAGTAGTAACCAAACCATCAAAAGATGCTGATCTTCCTGTTGATGTTCTGTTACTTACAGTTACAAACTGTGAGTTCTTAGCTTGTTACAGTGAGCTAAAAAACCCCTACAAATGTTGGTTTGATGGTCTTGGCTATGTTTACTTTTCTGATGTGGGTGAAAGTCAAGAGGAGCTGAAAGTTGCTTTACTAAGATGTTACAGAAATGGTCCTGGTGGTGCTCTTGTATCTGTAAAGAATGCTGCCTCTCTGCTACATCCCAAAGCAGTCATTTCAGTAGGAACATGTAGTGGCCTCAACCCTGCAAAGTCCAAGTTAGGAGATGTTGTTGTGTCTGCCAAATTAGCAACATATGCATCAAAGGCAGTGACCAGCATCAATCAAGAGCAGTCAACTGGCATGAGAAGTTATGTGAGCAAACGCTTCCTGGATGTCATTAAGAATTGTGCTGATGGCTGGCAAGCACCTTTGAAGAACGCTGAAGCTCAGCAAGTTCAAGTTTATACTGATGCTGAGTTTTTGAGTGGACCAGAACAAGTCAGAGCTGAATGGCGGCATGATCAACTTGCTGAAACCAATCCTAAGGCTATGGCAATCGAAAATGAAGGAGAAGGTGAGCAGACCTTTTAATATGCAGCCAGCCTTAGGAAGTGTATGCAGTCCGGTCTCTTTTGACTCTATAGATGTGCTGGTTGCTTTTGATTCAGTGTTAATTTCAAGGCATTGCATTGATTGTTTGCTTGTTTGAGCTTAATTAATATTATCATAATTTTTTGCTGAAATGATGGGCCTGCTCCCAATTTATGGGTCATCATTGCTTAGTTGTTAGAGCACTGTCATGCTAACACGAAGGCCATGGGTTCAAATTCCCTTGAACCCTCTCCCCCTTAATTTTTTTTTCAGGTAATTTGCAATCATTGCTTAGATTGCTGTTACAATAATTGTAACAGCAATCTAAATCTAATTATTGTTACAACAATTATATCTGCAAATTATACCCATTGACAAAAGATAGGTGTGGGAAAGGTGCCTGGTGAAACTGAAGGGGGGGCAAGCACGTCTAGAAAGTAGCCATGACAACCCTATGAGTGGGACCGAGCAGGCACTGTCACACAGAGACCTTCAGTGGAGAAATGTGCAGATACTTACCAAAACATATCACCAACAAATCACCATTCCAACTAGAATGCAAATTACATGATTTGAACTTCAATTCACCTTCTCCACTCTAATAAGCCACTTAATCGTCAACAATACAACCATAATCTTTCACAAAATTCCAAATGGAACCTTTAATTTGAACTTAAAGTCACGTCACATAATTTATTCGAATTCCAAAAAACAAAATTTCAATTCCAAAGGAAGCGGAAGTAAGAATACACAAGAACCGAGTAACGACTAGGTACGACAGTGAAAAAGTGTTGAAGTTTACACGACTCCTGCAGTTCGCGGGATGAATAAATTCCTAATGAAGCCTTCATAGCTTAGCTTTAACTAGGATGTCCTTAAGGGATTTTCCCTTACGATATGAGATGATGGGGGCCTTGAAGATTTCTCTCAGTTGCGGATGATTTTCTATAAGGTGCTATGGATAGTCTCAGTGGGGAAGGTGCATGGTGAAACTGAAAGGAGCCGCAAGTGAGCCTGAAGGTAACCATGACAACCCTGTGAGTGGCACCCACCCAAACCAATCTACAGGTGCTTGAAAAAAAGGGGACAGCGAACAGGGGAGTCACAGGACATGGTTTCCTTTTTTTCCCGTTTTCCTTGCAATAAAAACTAAAGAAAAGCAGTTCACTACTGAAGATGAATAGAAGTCCTAATACCTGCCTGAAGCATGTCCGGGCGAGAGAAAATTTAGCGCAAGCCTTCCATAACCTCAATGCAACCTGACACAACTGGGGAGGAGGCGGTACAGTTCACATCCTCTACATTCTACATCTATCTTCCAACTTTGTTTTTTTTTTTAGAAAGTTAGGCAAAATAATGTGTTATATTGATGAAGGACTGTCTCAACATAAACTCAAGTGCCATTTTCTTTGTTTCTCTATAGGAGTGTTTGCAGCGCATTTGACTGTCAAATTGAGTGGTTAATTGTGAAAGGGATAGCTGATTACGCAGATGGTTCCTCAGTTGCCTTCAGAGAGTTGGTCTTCCTGTGCCAGTGTGATGGCAGCATCTCTTGTTGCACACATTTTGGTGGAGCCCTGTGTTTTTCTATTCATGGCCCCATTACCAAGGTAAATATTTTCGTAATGTTATGTCCCTTTTGGCATGTTGTTTTAATGAAACTAGCATTACAGTGTACTTCCTTTATGCCATAGTAAGCTCAACACTGCATTATGGGGTAGATGTCACACATGACATCTTTTTTTCTTTATAACAGCTTTTAATTAGATTTGATCATATTGGTGTTGATATCACAATAAGACTACTGTAACCGGGGCCACTTAGACAAAGTTGGCCAAACATTACAGGAAAGTTGGTTGGGGCCAATCAGCAGCTTGCAAAAAATAATTTATTTGAAGCACAAAATTTAAACATTGAGAGCAAACGTTTTGAAAACGTAAAATGTTTCACCAGACAATGTTTTTCTATTCAAAACTTTACGTACTGTACATGTATAACACCCAGGAGACATACTTGTTTGACACAAGGTGATATTTTGTCATCTAAGACACTTTTTGCAGCATCGCTTTGCAAGGATTTTCGACCTCAAGTCAAAATTATAACTGTTTACATTTTTTGCCTCCTTCACACACACTTTATGGGACCTCTCAGGAAACACAGGCTTTCTTCAGTGGGTTCAAAAGGTTACGTCTGTTGGTTGTGATTTGTTGATTTCGATCCATGCTGTTTATTTCATTTCGTTGTAATTATGATTGACAACTAACTTTCTCAGAATGTATTGTTATTTTCCTGTAATCTGATTGGTCAGCTTTGTCCAGGTAGCCCCGGTTATAGTAGTCGTATTGTAATAGTTATGGTTTCTTTAAGGAACCTGCAAACGGTAAGAACATTGAAGAAATCTCTTGTCATTTTAAACCAAAAAGAGATTGAAGTAAAATCATGAAACAACAAAAACGTTTTGGATTTTGTTGTGAAATAAGGTTTAGATTAGAAGAACCTTCTAAGGTTTAACACCCACCTCCAAGTGCTCTTAGCTGATGAGTCTGTTTTTTCCAGCAGTCGTATTGAGCTGACCACATAGCTATATTTTCTTTTTTAGTGTTAAAACTACACCTGTCTGATAGGCACTGCTGACTTTATTAGTGGCCGTTAATTCTAGTAGATTTCTTGAATGTAAGTGAGAGATCTCTTTATGTTACAGATATATCAGAGCAGAGGTCAGCCAGCAGATCAAAGGAACAATTACCAAGTTCCTCAGGTGCCGATATTTAGGTCCTGTCCAAACAAACCCGGATATTTTTGAAACGACGTATTTTTCTACTTGAATAGGCCGCGGATGAATGATCGGATTCACTGGTTTAGTGTTGAGGGAAGGCCATTTTGTGAGAAAGGAAATGTGCGGTTTCAGAAATATCCAGATTCATGTAGACGGAGGCCTTAATGTTTAATGTTACATTGTACATGTAATCAATACAATAAATTATGTTACGATAAGATACATTTCCATTCATTTTCCTTTGCTTTTGGATTTTTCCCTCTTGTTTCTTGTTTTCTTGTTTTCTTTCTCTTTTTTCTCTTGATTTTGGTTTTATTTTTTTTGTTTTGGTTTTTTCTTATCTTGGTTAATGTTTTTGGAACTCTCGTATCAGGGTTGTTGCGTATTTTAACTAATAATTAGGCAAAAATTTTTCGTCCTTAAGGGGGCGCTAATTCGAAAGGGGGCACTTACATATATTTGAAGGAGGGTGCTAATTTCAACGTTTACGGTACATGTCTGCCATTTGATTAAAAAAGACCCTCGTCCCTCTCCTCTGTTAAATACTCTTGTCTAATTAGCTGCTATTTGCACTCTGTTCCTTAGCTTAATTGTGAAATGGATAAGGTTTTCCCACCCTAAGTCTGAGCAACAGATTTATAGTACAAAACAACAACAACAACACAGCTTCTAAAGCCAGATGTAACGTCAATGAGCGATTTCCAATAATCATGACATTTTGATATTTAGTACTAAATTAGAAGGGGAGGCCAGTACAATGTAAACTAACGATAGTATAAAAGTTTTGAAATCTACATCTATATCTCAAAAATTGTTGAACAAGTCAGCCTTGCAACAGAAGGTTGTTAAGAAAACCGCTGGACAGGTGTAAAACTTGGTAATAAGCTTAACGCATGCAGAATCATGCGTCTTGCTGCAGTGTTACCCTGCTTAGGCCCTGTTTTCAATTCTTGAGAGAACATATCCACGCTCAGATGAAAATGACCGTACTAGGTAAACTGCCATTATCACTGCTACCATAACACTGTACAATTAACTCAGTCCTACATGTGCTACTCCATGTGTTGGATAGGATAAAGGATTTAAGAAAATTGCTTTTTTTATAAACAGATGCTTCAACGGCCTTTTTGAAGTGGAGCCAAAGTCAGCTTTGCTCATTCTACAACAGTACCGCGAGCCAGTTAATGATTACTCCTTGGGACCAGGATAACACCATGGACATTGATGAGGTGTATGTACAATTAACACTGCTGAGAGATAACAGAAAACTTGCTGGAACAACTAAAGAAAAGCTTAAAGATTATAGCGAGATATTTGCAAGCCATGGTCATCACCTAATTCCTAAGAGAATTTTAGTTTACGGGAGACCAGGAATAGGAAAGTCGACGTTCACTAAGAAACTCGTCGTGGACTGGTCACGTGGTAACAAAGAAAGCCTAGAGAAATTTGCTGTTGTACTTTTAATCAAGCTCCGAGATGTTTGCAACAGGCAAGATTTCTGTGACATGCTACAAAAGGCCGAACTGTTGTCTGCTGATGACCCTATGGTGTTTGGCCAGTTGTATGATTACATCCTTCGTAACCAACAGAAAGTCCTACTTATTTTAGACGGCTATGATGAATACAGCGCCGAAAAATCAACGCCAGTTCATCAGATTTGGAAAGGCAGTCTGTTGAGAGATTGTACTCTTCTTGTGACAACTCGACCGCTGAAAAACGATGAGTTAAGACCAGGAAGTCATGCTCAGTTTGAAATTTGTGGGTTTGATCGGTGGCAAGTTGAAAGGTTTGCACTTAAGTTTCTTCGCGACCAAACAGAAGTAGACGAGTTTGTATATTTTTGTATGAACGGGACCTGTGGGACTTGGCGGAAATACCACTCCTCCTGTTAATGTTGGTTCTAAGCTGCAATAAATATCAAGAACCATCAACATCCCGCCGCGCAAATGTGTATAAAAGTTTTTGTCAGACGCTACTTGATCACGTCTCCGCCAAAACCTCAGATGAGACATTTAGAAGCATGGATGAATACAAGGAAGACCTCGCAAAGTTGGGAGAACTTGCATGGGACGCACTTTTAAATGGCCGTCTATACTTCAAGCTCAGCAACCTTCCTGAGTACATTCGGTTGCTCATTGTAAAGTTTATCGATTTTGGCTTTCTACAAACATCCAATCTTTCTAACTCTCCTCGTCCTGAGAAACTGGCGTTCTTTCTTCATAAATCGGTACAAGAATTTCTTTCTGCATTATTTATTGTTCGCGATTTGAAGAATGCAAACGAAGCTTTCGATTGTCTGTCGAAAGTCGACTCATTTGAACCATTCAAGGAGCTATTTGAAGTTTTTAAATTTGTTTCTCAGTTGTCATCAGAAGCTAGCGTTGTTGTTTTTAGCCATCTGAAGATGATAGGAGAAAAAGAAGGTGTGACAGGTGACAACTTCTGCGGTGAAAACCCTTCTGTTAAGGGGCTCACTAAAGAACAAAAAGAGTTTTATAATACCAGTCTCGAATTGTTCCTTTCCTGCCCCGCATCAGAAAGGCAAGCCGTTTATCCTTCATTTCTACAATGCGTTAAGGGTGTTATAGTGATAGATGTTGATGATCACCTGCCTACAGTTGCTAGAGAACATTGTTTGAGATCAACAAGTTTCCATAAGCCAGATTATGTATTTTTCAAAACTAGGTCTGTACGTGATCTACTACGACATGAGGGTGATCAAATGTTCTCTGTAATGTGCGATTTGGACACCGTTGTTCAAACATGTGATGGTGATGCAAAATTTGTAAATACGTACTACGATCTAAAACCTGATGACTTTGTCGTGAAGAAAGATGGACAGCAATTAGTGTTCTATTTAACTCGCCTTGATTCATTGGGACTTATCGATCGTCTGAAACACGTTGAACTGCTTACTAGATCATTGATATCAGCACCAAAGTCCTCTCTTCAAGAGCCTGATCACGTGTCACAGAATCATGATGTTTGCAGCTCATTGGATTTAACTGAGAAAACATCTGACCAGACTCTGACACACTCTCTGTCATATTTGAGAGAGATAAAAATTTCGGATCCAACAAGTGAACTTCTTAGTATTCTTTATAATCTTCGTCATTTAACTCGCCTAGCTGAGCTTGTTTTAAGTGGTGTTGGTATGGGGAATCAAGAATGTCAGTTACTTGCCACTGCTTTAAAGTATGTTAATCAGTTACGATTACTTAGGTTATCAAGTAACCCACTCGGTCACGGGATAAGCGGGCTTGCCAAACACCTGCGCAATGTACCTCATCTGGAATGGCTGTGCCTGAATGATACACAGATGGGTGAAGAAGAAGTCACAGCTTTAGCCCGTAGTTTGCAGAATGTGACTCAGCTGAGTAAACTTGACTTATCAAACAACCCACTCGGTCACGGGATAAGTGAACTTGCCAAACATCTGCACAGTGTACCTCATCTGAAAGAACTGTACCTGAATGATACACAGATGGGTGAGGAGGAAGTCACAGCTTTAGCCCATAGTTTAAAGAATGTGACTCAGCTGAGTAAACTTCACTTATCAAACAACCCACTCGGTCACGGGATAAGTGAGCTGGCCAAACACCTGCACAATGTACCTCATCTGAAAGAGTTCTACGTCATTGATACACAGATGGGTGAAGAGGAAGTTACAGTTTTAGCCCATAGTTTAAAAAATATGACTCAGCTGAGTAAACTTTCCTTATCATACAACCCACTCGGTCACGGAATAAGTGAGTTTGCCAGACATCTTCACAGTGTACCTCAACTGAAAAAGCTGCACCTGTATGTTACACAGATGGGTGAAGAGAAAGTCACAGCTTTAGCCCTTGTACTCGTCTACGTACCAGACCTGAAGCTCCTTTCGCTTGACAAAAATCTGCTAAACCGCGGTGTGACTGAACTAATCAAGTGCCTCAGAAGTAGTCCTCAGCTTCCTGGTCTCTGCCTCACCCAAGTTCAACTGACGAAGATTAAGAAGCCACCGAGCTGTCTTCTTTAGCAGGTGAAAGGAACATGTACTTGGAGTCAGATTACCATGTAAGTTTCTCTTTTGTAATTTGCATTATTAATGCTCGTAGTACCCAGGAACTTCCTGGTAGACGAGAATGAACCGTTCCTTAAAGGGGCTGTGTCACTATTTCTATTCATCCCAAAAAATTCAAAACTTTGTAAAAAGAAACTCTTGTCACGTAGTGGTCCTTTCTTGTCAACAATTGCTATTGCGTTATCTTTCTGTAGATGTCCACGTTGGAAATAGATTGCAATATCATATTCCGTCAACAATGATCCTACGTCAATGGACTAAATTGGATTTCAATATCAAATTCAAGTTCTGTTAACGACTACTCTGTTAGTGTACTAAAATCATTAATAAGTGGCCGGGATGGTTTTGCTTTCATGTTTGGATTTCCTTAGCGTTTTCTTAAAAAGCCAACTTAAAAAATGAATGGGATTTGTTCCTGACTATAGAACTTAAATACTAATCAAATCTTGCTCTTGTAACGTTACGGTTAAGCATGTATTTGAGGTTAAATCTCGGGATGATGCGCAGCGATGCAGTGAATATAAGTGACAGTTAACGTTCGGCGGTCCCGTCTGATAACTAACGTACAGTTGGAGAAAAAATAAGGCGAGCGATAATTTGGCTGTGGTACAGACTTAACACTGGATAATATACCGGCTAGTACGAGTTCCCGGATCTCGTACAAGTGAGCTTCCTCGCAGACTAGAGGTACAAGGTCGTTGAAATCACTGAGGGGAACTCGTTGGTAACTCATCTCAAGGTAGTTAGTATGTGTAATCAAATGGTATACTCGTGAAACTAGGGAATAATTTCGAAATTATTAGGAACTGGACAAAACGCAAGTTAAATTATTTCCTAATTTCACGAGTATACCATTTGATTACCTATCAATATCATGGGTGACGAATTAGGATTGCAATCGTGGATTTTTGACATGTTTATCATTTATCGCATTGATCGGAGAACTCCACGCGCTCCACGTACAAATCATGCTATTATTTGTTTATACTACTACCCGCAAAAGGTTTGTAATTTTCACGTGTAGTTATTTCAAATTAAGCAGAAATACCACTGCTCTAAGCCATCAAATTACAGAAATTTCTCATGTTTTAGTATAGGTAATAGCATGATTTGTAGTGATATTTGGTATAAATACCACAAAATGATATTTCGAAAAAAATTTGAGACAATTTTGAAATTTCACGAGTGGTATTTGTGCCAAATATCACGGACAAATCATGCCATTATTTGTTTATACCACTACCCGCCAAACGTTTGTAATTTTCACATGTAGGTATTTCAAATTAAGCTGAAATACCACTGCCCTAAGCCAATCAAATTGCAGAAATTTCTCATGTTGTAGTATAAGTGCTGAAATTTCGCGCCAAAATTAAGGAGTAATTTGTCACCCATGATATTTAACAATTATTTCACGATTGCGCTTTGGGTTTGAGTTGGCTAAAGTCGCGAGTATAAAAATTGTTTTATTAAAGACGCCCACAAAATATCGAGAATTCTTCCCGACTTTATTTGTTAAAACAACCGTTTTTCAGCTTCTTGGTAATTTTGAGCAGACTCGAGGCAGACGCGTACAGTTACCATATTTGGAAAGCATGGTATAATAGCTCATATACCATGATGGCTAAGCCAATCAGAGCTCTAGAATTGCATTATGCAATGATTCAGTTTAAAAAAATAATAGTTATATCACTTACAAGTATGCTTATTGTATACTGTTGAAATACAAAAATTAATTTTTGCAAGTCCTCACAACTAAAATTACATCACAGTAGAATAAACAACTAAAACTATCGTACTTGAAAACTCTTAAATTGTTACTCTTTATTGGAATGAAGTTGATGTGAACTGCCTAAAAAATCAAGCGTTTTAAATCCGTTGCTGTTTGTCTTCTTTATTAGACCAAGGTTAATGGTTTGCCGCCTCGCTATCCCCGCCTAGTTACTGAGACAGAACTACAAGAAAAGGGAGTCATATTTGATGAAAAGTGAAAAATGGTACCCTGTGAGAAGAGAAGAGACCTGGACAGTAAATGAACCACCACCATCCGTGCGACAATCATTTAGGTATT